CGGACAGCGAAACGGCGCCGACTGGGCGCCGACTCCACGCTTCGGTTTCGGGTTCCCACCCGCTTGGCAGTCTCACGAGGTGGATCGGCGATTGCGCGAAGGACGCGACTCGAATATTGATACGCGTCGTCAACTCATAGCCTTCGTCGAATTCCATCTCATCCGGCTCGAGGACGCGCGACATGGTCGCGCCGTTGGTGAGCCGAAATCCCAGGACGAAGCGGTGCGTCGCATCGACGTCCGTGACGTCGACGTCATCGTGTGGCGACGCGTCGTCGAGCGCCGGAAGCAAGAAAAATCCCGGACGCGCAGGATTTGGCACGGGATCCGGCATCGCGGCCGGTCCCGGTCCGATGTTCGCGCGCAAGGACTCGATCGCGCGATCGAGCGCGCCGCGGGAGAGCGATCGCGCCAGCGCGCGCCGAAGGCGGGCGCGCACGGCTGGCAGCGCGAAGAGCCCGTCGTCCGGGAGCGGCGGGTTGCGCAGTAGGGTGGCCCGCCGCCTCGCGACTTGCGCCGCGACGTCGCGGCTCGTCACCGCCGACCAGTCTGCCAGAAAGCCCTGGTCCAGCATTGGGTCCACTGTCGCCGTCACAAGCATGGCGCACCGCCGTCCTTGCCGCAGCCCGTCAAACCGGATAGATCTGCGTGCCATATAGCGCGCCCGGGCCGCGGTTGGCTGCGATGCGTGGTGTGGGCGTTCTGACTGGGCTTGGAGATGTGCGGGGCCACGCGCCAGCCCAGCAGGGAGGTCTGCACCTTCGTGAGGCTAAGGCCGAGACTCAGCCTGCTCTCATCATGTCTCTCATCCTGCCATGGCCGATATTTACTGGGTTCTTTCCCTGGTGTTGAAGCGCGAGAAACGTCTCAGCAAGGAGATGATGTGTTTTTGATCGCTCCATCGCGCCTCGAAACGCAGCCGAACCGCAGCCGAAACACAGGCAGCCCGAGGCGCGCGCGCGACCATGGGCGCGTCGGCGTCGGCCCCCGCGGAGCTCGACCGCGCCAAGGCGCGCGCGCTCGTCGGCGCCGGCTGGAACGAGGAGACGGAGAAGCGCTGGGCCGAGCTCTGCGGCGAGGGCAGCACGGTGTCGTTGCTCGCCGCCGCGGAGGTGGCCAAGGAGCTCAAGCTGCAGATCGTCGACATGCGGGACGCCGTCGCGACGATGCGGTCCGCGGCCATCGACATGGAGGACTCGGGCGTCCGCGCGATGATCAAATTGGCGGGCAAGAGCGCGAAGCTCGGCCACCTCAACGAGCTCTTCCGCCAGTTCAACAACCCCGAGGTCATCAGCGAGCGGCGCGAGCGCGTGCGCGCGGAGGCCGCGGCGGCCGTCGCGGAGCTGGAGAAGCTGAGCGAGGAGGAGAAGCAGACGGCGCGGGGCCAGGGCGACCTGGACATGTACACGCACGAGTCCCAGGCCATCCGCGAGGAGTTCTTCGTGTCGCACCGGGGCATCAGCGACGAGCTCGAGAAGTGGTGGGAGGCCGCGTCGCTCTTCTTCGACGACAACTGGGACGATTTTTTATCCAAGGACGAGTACGCCAAGTTCCACGAGCGGCTCCTGCGGCTCATGCGCGAGGAGGACGAGATGACCAAAGAAGAGGCCCAGGCGGCGCTCGACGCGGACTTCGAGGTCGACGCGGGCGAGGACGGCCGCGTGAGCCTGTGTGGAATTCAACCACTGGTTTGGGGGGTCCCCACCAAACTTCAGAACTCTCTATCTCGGTCAAATCGAAGTCGATTCGGCTGATTTTTGGACGAATCGATTGCTCTCGTCGAGTTCTCGAAGCACAGCCGAAGAGCTTGCATCGAAACTGTCGCATACGCGCACATTGAAGTCGTGTTGAAGATTTGAATTCCACACAGGCGTGAGCCACGAGGAGTTCCGCTACGCGATGTTCCAGCTCGCGGACCACTGGACGACGTCGCTGGACGCGCGCGAGTACGTCGACTTCCTGCGGTCGGGCTACGACGTCGTCTTCGCGGATCTGATCGCCGCGGACCACATGCGGCCTCCAGAAGAATGGCGCAAGGCGCTCAAGGGCTTCAAGGGCAAATCCGTCGCGCTCGTCAAGACCGCGCTCGGCCCGGACGCGTGCATCGAGATCATCTCCGACATCTACGCGTCCAAGCTCGTCGCCAACGCGGCCAAGGAGAACCGGGGCAAGGCGCGCGTGCCCCTCGCGCAGTTCACGATCAACTACTTCGTCCGCAAGCACGGCGCGAACACGAAGACGTGCGTCGTGAAATTCAAGGAGTTCTCCAACGGCGTCGCGAACATCGTCGACGACCACGGCCACGCCTTCCACGACTACGCCCTGGTCTACGCGCAGATGGTGGGCTACACGACGCGCTCCGGCCGCGTCCGCCCCTACACGACGGAGAACTGCGCGTTCATGATGGACTTCTTCCGCGACCTCCAGCCCGTGGTCGACAAGATTTTGGGCGAGCAAACGATGCTCGACACGTACCTCCAGAAGGCCCTGCGGAACAAGAAGGTCGCGTCCCACTTTGGGTTCCTCATGGCCGACGACGTCGAGACGATGATCGTCGACCGGCTCCGGGCCTTCGGGGGCGTCGACGGCGACGCGCCGCTCTTCCAGTGCATCCACTTCGCGTTCCAGGCCGTCTGCCAGGTCAAGGAGGTCGACCACCACGGCCAGCGGCTGTCGGTGAAGCTCTGCACGGCCATCGACGCGCTCACGTTCGTCGGCACGGTCGCCGGCGCCGTCGACGTCATCAAGCAGTCCGCGAAGGACGGCGAGGTCGCCGCGGCGCCCAAGACCATCGGCCACGTCAAGCAGCAGTCCTGGCAGGTCGCCCACGCCATGAGCGGCCGCCAGCTCGCCAAGGGCGGCGGCGAGGACGAGCTCCGCGCGCCCGAGACGACCCCGAAGACGAAGCCGGGGAAGGCCTAATAATGGAGTGTGTGCTTATGATCTTTAGCCGCGGCGCAAGAAGGAATAGAGAATGGGGAGGACAGGCGTAGGGAGAGCCACGGGAAGGCTCTCTTCTACAGGTTTCAAATGCCATCCCAGAAGGTCAGGACGTGCTCGAACACTTCGTCGGGAAGTGGCCTCTGCGCGGCGCTGTGCGCAAGCCGCTTCGACCGCGTGCGCGCGGCGCACTTCGGCATCGGCGCCGAGCCGAAGAGTCGCAAGAAGCGCGCTGGAGCCGTCGCGCGGCCGGCGAGGCACAGGTAGCGTAGCGACAAGAGCGGAACGACGCGTTCACGTTCGTATCTCTTCCAGGAGCCCGCTGATCGAACTGCCTCGAGGAGATCGATAATTTTTCTTATCTCTCGTTTAGCCTCATCAAATTCATGATCTTCAAGGACAAATTTCAGGATATTGAAAACGTGGAGCAATTGTTCGTCCGCGAGTTCGAAGATGTCGAGTGGACGGGACAGGCCACGCACGGGATCATCACACCCATAACAAGCACCGAGAGCCGCGCCGTTGTTCAGCAGTGCACGCAGGACGTCAAAGCGCCGGTCTAAGACGGCCCATGCGAGTGGGGTGTCGTCATCTGGAACTGTCCGCGCGTCGATGTGGGCGCCATGAGCGAGGAGGAGCTCGACCATTCGAGCGTCGCGGGCATTGTGTAAGGGCGTATCGTGTTGTGCACCGCAGCCCAGGTTTGGTGCGGCGCCATGCTCTAGGAGCATCTGTGCGACGGCATGCGAACTTTTCTGTTCGGTTTCGTGAATCGCGGTCATCAAGAGCGTAATTTGTCCGTATATAGTGCTTTCGATTATTTCGTTTACATCACCCGCGTTCTCCAAGGATAAGACAGCTTTTAAAGTAGCCAAATCTCCCTCTTTCACAGCCTTGTAGGCACGCTGAAACATCGTCGCGGCGCCGCGACCGATTGCCGCCAATATTCAATCCTTGCCTCAGCAAGAGCTTGCTCTTTCAGCGAGCGCAAGACTGTAGGAGGCCCGGGCCCCCCAGAGACGGACCGAGGGATGGCCCGCCCACTCCAAGGCAACGAGCTGCTCGCGCGTTGGCAGCAGAATCGCGACGCCAACATATGTAACATCTTTGATCCCAATCTCAGCGAGCAGGAACGAGGAGACCTCTTCGATACCGAGGACGAGGCAGCGCAGGAAATCTATGCCTGGGCGATCCCCGACGAGCGGGCGTTACGGATCTGCGAGGCCTTTGCACCCATCGTCGAGATCGGCGCGGGCGCGGGCTACTGGGCGCGGCTGCTCCGCGACCGCGGCGTCGACGTCGCCGCGTACGACAAATCCGTCGGCGACGACGCGCGCGCGGCCGGCGTCGAGGCCCGACCGTGGACGGAGGTCCGCCGCGGCGGCGCCGAGGCGCTCAAGGACCACACAGCGTCGACTTTGCTTTTGTGTTACCCGGACGATCACGAAGACGGCGGCGACACGAAGCCGCTCTCCGTGGAATGCCTCGAGGCCTTCGAGGGCGACTTGATTATTCACGTCGGCGAGCTCTTCGGCGACTCGCTCTCCGTGAGCATGGAGGGCCAAGAGACGCCCGACGACATTTGGCCCTGGGGCCGCAGCACGGACCCGCGATTCCAGGCCCAGCTCGCGACGACGTTCCACAAGATCCTGCAGGTCCCGCTCCCCTGCTGGGCGAACGCGCGGGACACGCTCACGGTCTGGCGCCGCAGCGCCACCGCCGTCGTTTCCGGCGACCGCTACGCGCACATTCCGCGCGAGGAGCGGCTCTCGCTCGAGCTCGCGTGCCCCGCGACGGCGCACCTCCTCGCGGAGTAGGGGGCGCGAAGTAAGATCGCGCGGCGGCGGTGATCATCAGCGAAGCAAGACGGACGAGGACCGAAGTAACGACGTCGACGAGGTCGCGAGGCGGAGTGATTATGCGTAAAAGTCGCGCCGGGGGCGGCGGTCGAGAGGTCAGAAGGGCGCCTCGTTCGCGCGGCGGTCCGGGCCGGGCCTTTGGTCGTCGTCGTGGTCGAGGTCGTCCGGGCCGAGGTCGTCGTCGTCCTCGTCGAGGTCGTCGTCGTGCGCGTCGTCCTCCGTCGCGAGGCGCGCGTACTCGGCGGCGGCGAAGCGGTCCCAGTCCGTGTCGAAGGGGTCGTCGCGCTTGAGGCGGTCCGCGAAGGGGTCGCGCTGCTCGAAGGCGACGAACTTGTCGAGGCTGAAGAGCGCGTCGAAGAAGACGCCGGCGACGCGCGTCTTCCGGAGCACGTCGTCCAACGTGAGCCAGAGCTTGCCGCCCGAGCCGTCGACGTTCGTCTTCTCGAGCGACGCGGGCGTGAGGAGGTCGGCCATCTGGCAGAGCACGTCCTCGAAGCCGATGACGTCGTGGCCCAGGCACTCCATGCGCCGCGCCTGCATGTCGTAGAAGAAGGCCGCGTCGCGGACGTCGACGACGCCGTCGCCGTCGACGTCGACGCACTGGAACCAGTAGCGCATCGCCGCCTCCGTCGACTTGTCCTCCTCGCTGAGCATGAAGTAGACGAAGTCCGCGTAGGTCAGCGCGTCGGCGTCGCGCGCGGGCGACGGCGCCGCGCGCGCGTCGTCGCCGCCGCCGCCGCCGCCGCCGCGGGGCCGGCCGTCCTCGGACGAGTCGTCCCCAAAGGCCGAGCCGTCGTCGGACGCGCCGTCGTCGTCGCCCGCGAGGTCCTCGAGCGTGCGCCGCGCCGCGGGCGCCTTGGCCGGCGCGCCGGGGCCCCGCGTCGCGCGGCGGAGCGAGTCGCCGCACGCGCCGTCGCCGTACGGACGCGGCGCGGCGTCGAAGACGCGGTCGACGATGGCCCGCGACAGGCGGTGGCCGCCGTACTTCAGCACGTCGTCGCGGCTCAGGCGCGCGTCGTGGTCCCCGTCCAACTCCCAGAAGCGGCAGTAGAGGACGTAAAAGTGCTCGTAGCTAAAGTACGAGAGCTCCTTGTTGATGTCCGGGTCGCCGTCGAGCTGGACCAGGGCCTGGAGCACGCAGGGCGTCGACGGCCGCAGGAGCTCCCGGCGCGAGATCTTGCCCGTGCGGCTCAGGTTCACGCGGTAGTAGAGCCGCGCGGTCACGGTCGCCGCGTACTT